TTGGAAGCCCAAGGTGGAGCACGCCAGAAAGCCTCAACCATCCCTTGGAGATATTTTGTGTCTCTGCACCTGTCCCCTAGCATTTCAGAGGGGTAGGGGCAGGCAGGTGGGTGGCTTTCCCACAGCTGCAGTCACATACCTAGTCAGTCCTTAAAGGGACAACACATCTTATGCCCCTGAAATATCATTATACTCTGAGCTGTACAACAGTAAAAAAAGGCAGGAGTTTCTCCTGCTTATTTTATCTCTGGTCTTGAGAGGAGCCTGTAGAGATAAGAAGAACTGTGCCCAGAGTCTACATTTAAGTGGGATTCAGAGGATGTTGCTTTTTCAGATTAAAAAAGAATGCAAATGTAAAGGAAGTTATAAAACCACAAGTGAATCTGTGGAGAAAGTTATTCACAGCTGGGAGCAAAATTGGTAAGGCAGGAGCTGCTCTTCTGGAGTTTTCTCTCAGAAGCCCTGAAACCCTGTGCCTAGTTTTTGGTTTTTTGAGAGGACATTTGGAAAGGCTGGTATTTTTGCTGCAGACTTTATAATTTGCATTTGTTTGGAAGATGAAGGGAGGAAGGGAGTCCTGTCTGGAGCAATGCCACTAAAACTATAGCTGCAGATAAGAAAAGTCATGCATGATTTCTCTATCTCCTCCTCACACTTAGTCTTTACTTCACTCAGTCTTATTTCTTTCTGCTTCCTCTCTCATATTCTCTTCCTGAGTCTACTTGCCTCTTTCCATCTTTCCATGGGCTCATTTCCCTCACTCCAAAGTGTTTTTCCTTTTTTATCACTCCTTCCACCCCATAGTTTTTACCTTCTATTCCTCAGGCCTTTATTCTCTCTCTGCCTAGTCCCCTTCTCTGTTCCCATTCCTCACCCTCTCTCCACTCTGCCTGAAAGTATAACTAGCAGCCCAATAAACATGTCAAAAAGGACACCTGCTATTGCTCTTTTTGCACCAGCAGCCTGCTTCTCCCCCCACTACTCCTAAGCCAGATGACTCTGCAATGTGAGACAGGAGGAGAGTCATGAAGAACCCCAGCTGACATAGGCTGGCCTAAAATCTTTGTGAGAAGCTTCAAAAGACAGCTGGGTGTCTCCCTGGGTTGCACAAAAATATGCTGGCCACTAACTATTGTTCATAAACCAACCCTGTAGATCAGTCTGCTCGGTGTATATATGGAATCTAATCTGTACTTATGGGATGAGGACAGAATGGACAGGGTGAAAAAGTCAAGGGAGCCTGCACCTGGCACTTGGCAGCCCAAATCTGTCACAGGGGTAAAGTAAAAGCTTTCTTGGCCTGCAAATTCAGGGGAGTCCTTACAGATTCACTCATGGCCCCTCTACTACCCAAGACAGGGGGCTGAGTGTAGAAGGGGTTGTATCATCCCACCATGTTGAGACAACGGATGATTTTTCTACAACTTTCTATTTGAAACAGGCATGAGATACAGTGTGATTTGGTTGCCTCATGGTAGTTTTAGGCAACCAATGGCTACTTTCCTTCACTGTTAATCTGTATTTTACTTCTTCTCTGATTCTGTTTAGCTTTAAATTCCATTCACTGGGTCTTGTTAGACTTTCTGTCTACAAAAACTGAAGAGTCCTCCATTATCAAATCTGTTGATATCTGAAGAGCCCTCTACAATCAAATCAGCAAATGCAAGTAGCAAATTAACTGCTGAGTAATTACTGCACAGTACAGCACATATAGACAGCTGACAGGGAGCAAATTTACTCCAGGTCAGCTGGGGAGTAGGGGTGGGAGCTGGGCAGGGACAATGTCAGCAGGGAGCTCCTAGCCTCTACTCTGCAATTGTGGAGTAGGGGCTGGGAGCTTCCTGAATGGGGACAGTACCCAGCCAGCCTTGGGCTGCATGACGAAGCCTGGATGAACAGCCTGGAGGTGACTGGGGACTCTCTCATTTCAGGCAGTCCCCAGGTAGCTCCAGGCTACACCTGCAAACTTCCACGCGCAGCCTGGGGCTGTCTGGGAACTGTCCCAGTCAGGGGCAGCTCCCAGCCCCACAGATTTTCCCCACCTCTGTGCTGTGTTGGGCAATTGAGATATGGGGCTTGGAAAGAGCTGTAGGGGAGGGGCAGGTCCCAGCACCCTGCCCTGATTCCCTGGTGGGGCTGGTGGAATCCTTGCCCAGCCAGGGGTTCACTGCTAGCTGCCCCAATGGGGGATAGGGGCAGGGGGCTGGGACCTGCCCCTCCCCTGCAGCTCTTTCCAAGCCCCCTATCCCCCAGTTGAGGAGCTGGGAGTAGAAGCTGTCTGCTGCTGGGGTAGAGGGACATTGTCCCTGCCCAGGCTGTGCCACTGCCTTGGCAGCAAGTAGTTCCTGGGAGCGGGGGCAGAGAGCAATCTCCCGGCCCCTGCCAGGAGACAGTAGTCTCCCAGCCCTATGCTCCCTGCCAGCCCCTGGGCCAGCACCCAGGGGGAGCCCAGAGCTCCCCCTGGCTGCTGCAGGGGGCTGGTGCAGGGCTGGAGGGGGTAGGAGCAGACCGCTGCCAGGAGCAGGAAATCTGCTCCTGAATCCCCATATGTGTAGATGCCTGCCCACGGTGGGTTTACTCTACAGTAAACCCACCCTGCAGCATTTGCATGTGTAGATGCACCCAATGAGAAGAACTAAACAACATTATTTGTTGAGCAGTAAGCAACCTCTGCAAATCCTTTGCCTGGCTCTAACTGAGGGACCATCTCCCAATTTTCAGGTTCTGTAGACTTCTAAATAAAGGAGTGTCTCTAAATTATAACTTATATTACTGCAAACTGGCCATACCCTGTGTTAAGTGACACGTGATAGTGTAAAGAAATCAAATCACCTTCTGATGACCTCTATAAAAGATTCTAGAGAGCTGTGGTTTTTGACCTTTTACCCTTCAGGCTCTTATTGTCCCTTAATTAGTTTACCTGTCTGAAGGATGTGGTGGATAAAAAGACTTTCTAATGAGAAGGTTTTCCAACCTGATCCAAAACTTAATTCCAGTTTTTCTGGGTTTCGTACCTCTGAAGATTCACTGGATGTGGGAAAAGATCAATCTTCAGACATTTATGGAGATAGAGAGTGAGCAAGAGAAAGAGAGGGAAGAAAGCAGCAGTTTCTATAAGAAACAGCTATGCCTTTACTTAGATCTCAACCTTTTTTGGACCAGGACCCATTTGTGAACATTGATAGCTGGTCCTGACCCAGTGCTCCACACTCCCAACCTGCTGCCCCCTGCCCCCAGGCACCAGCCCCCCCAGTATGTGGGACAGGGTCAGGGACAGGGTCAGGGCTATCCCCCCCACCCACTTTGTGCCGGTGCAAGGGCCACTCTCTGCCTCCCCCCGCTACTTTGGGCTTGGGCTGGGGCCATTTCCCCACTTGCCTCCACCGTTTTGGGTCAGGGTTGGGGCCAGGGCCATTCCCCCCTGCTGTTTCAGGTTGGGGCCAGGGCCAGGGCTGCTCCCCCCCACACCCCGCCACTTTAGGCTGGGGCCAGGTCCACTCCCCACCTTCTCTTTGGGCAGGGACCAGGGCCATTCCTCCCCTCCCTTCCCCCCACAATTTTGGGTCAGTGTTGGGGCCAGGGCCATTCCCCCCACCACTTCAGGTTGGGAACAGGGCCAGGCCAGGGCCAGGGGCAGAACCATTCCCCCCCTCCCCCCTGCCACTTCGGGATGGGGCCAGGGCCACTCCCTGCTTCCCCCTGCTGCTTCAGGCTGGAGCCGGGCCCACGGCCTGTGATTGCGGCGGTGTTTGTGGTGGCAGCAGGGCTCAGCCACCAGTAAGCCCACCTCCCCTTCCTGCTCCCCTCTCTTCCCTGTTCCCTGCCACCCCAAATCCCTGCTGGCTGTTGGTGGGGGGGGGTGCCAGCCCCTGGTTCCAAGTAGCAGACCTGGGGGGGCGAGGCCAGCATTGCCGGCCTTGTCCCCCCACTCCATCACCTCTATTATGGAGGTGCTCCAGTTCCTGTCATCCCCCTCTGCCTTCAAGGAGCAGGGGAGGGGGACTGGCTTTTCCCCCCCTTCCCTCCATCCCCTCACTCCCCACTGTCCCCCTCTGTGTAGGGCACTCTGACTGGCTGCCAAGACAGCCAATCATAGCACAAATAAAGCATTATGGATAGACAGACAGACTTAGGCTTTTATAATATTAGAACTTGATGTGAGCTAGCTGGCTTCTTGGGACTTTTACGTGGAAAGGTTATCCTATTTCCTGGAAGCCAACAAAGTAGAAAACCCAGAGCAAAAATATGTGATCCTCCTGACAGTCTGTCGTGCCAAATCCCTCACAGCACCTGCTTTACCAAACACTAGGTCTTATGCTGAACTAATTGCTCTGGTAAAGGCACATTTTTGCCCAAGCCCATCTGTTACCCTACATAGATTTTATTTTTTTAAACGGGACCAAAAGGCCAATGAAGGCATAGCAGATTACCTGGCTGAGCTCCATCACCTTGCCAAATTTTGTGAGTTTCATGATCTCCTGGATGGCCTGCTTCACGACCGTCTTATTTGTGGGGTTCAAGATGAAGCAATCCAACGTCGCCTGCTCTCTGAACCAAATTTGACCTTGGCTACTGCACAAGAAAAAGCCTTGGCAGCTGAAGCAGCATCCCATAATGTGAGAGAAATTTGCCAGGTGTTCTCCAGCAAAGTCCACTTACTCCAAAAAGATCAAGAATCAGATTATCATCAGCAAATTCAGCCAATTATACCCTCACCAATAGCACCCCATCAACCAATTAATCCAAAGACACGTTTGAGTTGTGGTGGCCAACATAGACAAAGGCAGTGCAGGTTTAGGAATTCGGAGTGCCATGCCTGCAGGAAGAGGGGCCACATAAAGAGGGTGTGCTGCTTGAAGGCCAGTTCCAGGAGACAAAAAGGCTGTGGCAAATGTATTCACTCCCAAACCACTCACAGATTAGAGTCCTCCCCAGAATGTGAGGTACAAAAACTATATTTGATTTAAAAAGTTGGTGTTGTTGAAACTCAAGGTTCTGAGATGATTGCAATTGTAGTAATAAATGGAAAGAAGTTCAAAATGGAAGTGGACTTGGGTTTGGGAGTATCCCTCATTGATGAAAACACATTCTTCCAGTTGTTTCAGTACCCTCTCCCCAAGTTATTGAAACCTGATCGCCTGCGTGACTACAATGGACAGATTGTGTAAACTTTGGGTAGCTCTAGTGTAGATATCCAGTATGGATCTGTTAGACAGCATCTACCCCTCATTGTCACTAAGGGCTCGCACAAAAGTATTTTGCGGAGAAATTGGTTTTCACTATTGGGAATCCGTATTCTAGACATACATAGTCTCTGCACAGAAAGTCTGGAAAAGCTTGCAAGGGAGTTTCCCCAGGTATTCTCTGAGGAATTAGGAACTGACTCTGGTCCACCTGTGATGTTCCAAATGAACCCTGCGATAGCCCCTATCTTTATGAAGGCTTGGAATGTACCTTTTGAACCGCGGCCAAAAATTGATGCAAAATTAGATTGGCTTATTGCAAGGGGTCCTCCAGCCAATCCTACATACAAACAGAGCCACACCAATTGTTCTTGTTTTAAAACCTAATGGCAGTGTTTGCATCTGTGGGGATTACAAGTGCACTGTTAATAAAGCACTTAAGCAGGACCCACACCCAGTGCCTGCCATTAACCAGTTACTGTCTGTTTTTGCAGGAGGGAAGGTTTTTGCCAAACTTGACCTTGCTCAAGCCTATCAGCAATTGATAGTGGACAACAAGGCTGCTGAGGCCCAAACAATAATTACACACCAGGGAGTGTTCAGTGTCAGGTGCCTCCAGTTTGGAATTTCTGCGGCACCAGGAATTTTCCAGCGGTTCATGGAGAAAATGCTAGCAGGAATTCCCAGAGTTGTTCCATGCTTTGATGATGACTTGATCATGGGGTCATCTAGAGAGAAACTCACTGAGTGACTCAGAGAAGTTTTACAGAGGTCTGAAAAAGCTGGTATGAGAGTAAAAAAAGAGAAATGTCAGCTGGGAGTTTCCAGTATCAACTTTCTGGGATATCAAATTGATACTTCTGACATTCACCCAGTTGAAGACAAGGTAAAAGCAATACATGATGTCCCTATACCAAAATACAGACAGGATCTTCAAGTATTCCTAGGACTTCTCAGTTTTTATCACATCTTCGTGAAAGACAAAGCCATCATTGCAGAGCCCCTTCATTGCTTACTGGATAGAGAGGAACTATGTACAGATTGATAAAGGAGCATTGGCAATCATTACAGGAGTTAAAAAATGTCAAAGTTACGTTTATGGCTGCAAATTCAAAATCCAAATGGACCACAAACACCTTCTTGGAATTTTTACTATGGACAAACCAACTCCTCTTATTCTGTCTTGCCGTATGCAGCACTGGAGAATCATTCTAAACACATATGCCTATACACTCATGTACAAGCCTGGGAAAATGATTGCAAATGCTGATGCACTGAGCCACCTACCACTACAAATACCTGATTGTGCTACTCCTCCATGAGCGGAAGTCCTCATGCTGGAATCCATGCTAGAAGCCCCTCTTCAGGCTGATCAGGCTGCTGTTCAGACTACCCGTGTCCTCAACTGGGTGTGGAGGGGCTGGCCTGCAGAGAAATTGGCTGAGGAATTCAGGCCATTTTCATCACATCAGCATGAGCTGTCTGCCCACAAGGGTTGCCTTTTGTGGGGAAATTGTGTCATAATTTCAGAAGTAGGACACCAGATCATACTGACAACCCTGCACATAGGACACCCAGGCATTGTGAGGATGAAAGCACTGGCTAGAAGTTATGTATGGTGGACAGGTATGGACAATGACATAGAAAGGGTTGTGAGGGAGTACAGCATTTGTCAAGCAACCCATCATAATCCACTGAAGACACCAGTATTCTCTTGGGAAATGACAAGGGAACCCTGGTCATGCATCCACATTGATTTTGCTGGCCCTTTTCAAGGTAAGACCTTCTTAATTGTTGTTGACTCGTACTCAAAATGGCTTGAAGTGATTACTGTCTCAACTCTTACATCAACTGCCTCAATAACAACTCTCCATCAGCTGTTTGCAATCCATGGGGTAACCAACACTATTGTTTCTGATAATGGCAGTGCATTCACCTCAGCAGAGTTCCTAGATGTTGCCAGCTGCAACCTCATTTGAGCTGTTACCATTGCACCTCACAGGCCACAGGCCAATAGGCAAGCTGAGTGAATAGTGCAGACTACAAAAGATGCACTGAAAAGGATGGTTGTAGGAGACTGGCCTATTAGAGGGGCCAGATTTCTATTTGCTTAACATGTAATTCCTTGCCCTACAACAGGGTCCAGCCCATTAGAGCTTCTTATGGATCATCGTCTCATGACATGCCTTGACCGTGTTAACTCAGACCTTGTGAAAGACATACAGTTCAGAAAAGAAAAGGAGTTGGACTCCACATTGGCATCTGGTACCTTACATCTTTTTGTTCCACTGGAGACTGTTTTTGCTCGAAACTATGGGACAGGCCCACAGTGGATTCAGTCTAAAATTGTAAGTGCCACAGGATACGTATCATATACAGTCCAGACTGATGACAGACAAGTTTGGAGACATCATGTGGACCAGCTGCATGGGCATTCTCCTACTGATAACCCTACACCTGAGCAATCTCCAAGCACCAGTCCACCACTGACAGACATGGATTCATTGTGGAAGTGCCTACCTGTTTCCACCAATGCAAACTCTTTTCCATCACCATCAGAAGGAAGCATCGCTGTCGAATCTCCAGATAGGTGTGCGGGAGCGCGAGAATCCAGGAACCTCTTATTGTCCCCAGATCTCGAGACGGAAGGATGGGAAAGTCAATCACACAGCCGGACAGGAAGTGATGGGGAGGGGAAGACAGCGCCGCTAGGGGCACAATTAGAGGCCTCGCAACGGCAGCAGCTGGCAGGGTTAGTAAAAGAGTTTCACGATGTTTTCTCGGATCAGCCGGGGAGAGCTGCAGGGATAGAGCATAAAATTATTACTAAGGTGGGACAAATAGCCCGGGAGAAGTGGAGACGTATCCCCTACCATAGATGTCAGCAGGTTAAGGAAGAATTAGAACAGATGCTGAGGCAAGGGATCATAATCCCCTCCCGGAGCCTGTGGTGGAGTCTCTTAGTACCTGTAGAGAAGCCCGACGGAAGTCTTAGGCTGTGTGTGGACTTTAGAAAACTAAATGCTCTAACACAGTTTGATGCCTTTCCCATGCCACATGTCAATGAACTAGTAGAGCGGATAGGACAGGCGAGATTTATCTCAACGCTCGACTTGTCCAAAGGCTACTGGCAAATACCGCTCCGTAAGGAAGACCAATGGAAGACGGCGTTTGGCACCCCTTGGAGTTTGTTTGAATTCCAAAGGATGCCTTTTGGACTCAATGGGGTGGCGGCCACCTTCCAAAGACTGATGGATCGAACCCTAGCACCACATCAGAGATACGCCGCGGCATACCTGGATGATATTGTGGTCTATACCAAAACTTGGAGCCAGCACCTACAAGCTCTCCGGGCGGTTCTACTGGAACTGCGGTGAATAGGGGTAACGGCCAACCCAAAAAAATGCGCCCTAGGCCGGCAAGAGACCAAGTATCTCGGGTTTGTAGTAGGACAGGGCTGGATACGGCCTGTGAAGGACAAAGTAGCAATTATTAGAGAGTATAAAGCACCTTGCACCAAGAGACAGATGCGGGCGTTCCTCAGCCTGACAAGTTATTATAGGAGGTTCATTCCTAGGTTTGCAGAACTGGCAAAATCAGTAGTGGAGACCACTAAGGGCCCGCGGAGGGGATAACTGAGTGGACCGAAGAACGGAGGACCGCCTTTGAGAAGCTAAAAGAGGCTTTATGTCAGGAAGTTATGCTACACACCCCCAACTTTGCCATACCGTTTCCGTTGCAGACAGATGCCTCAGCCTACGCTCTCGGAGCTGTGTTGTCACAGGAGGTCGATGGAGCGCAACGTCTGATTGCCTACGCCAGCAGACAGCTGACGGATCCAGAAACAAGGTACTCCACTATAGAGTGAGAATGCTTGGCGATTCAGTGGGCGGTCGGCTATTTCCGATACTACCTCCTGGGGTGGGAGTTTACGTTAATCACGGATCACGCCCCCTTGAAGTGGTTGCATGCCTCTAAAACTGACAATGCCCGGATTATGCGCTGGGCACTAGCTCTCCAGCCCTTCCAATTTCAGGTGGTTTACAAGCCCGGGAAGCAGAACACAGTGGCGGACTTTCTGTCGCGATGTTGTGAGGAAGGGGAGAGAGGAAAAGGGAATTGGAGAATAGGAAGACCGCTTCCAAGCATCTTGAGGGGCAGGCAGTGTGCAGGAGCGCGAGAATCCAGGAACCCCAGGGAAAGCAGCAGTGGGATATCCGCTGTGTCGGACCCGCCCTTTCCCAGCAAGACAGGGCACTCACTGATTGATTGCAGCTGGGATCGTCGAGAGACAGCGTTAAAAGGGCCGGCGGTCCACAAGACGGTGGTGGCGGCGGAACCAGAAGTGCCCAGACAAGCGGCGGACACCAGCGCCGCGGGAAGCAGTCAGAGGTGATCCGCTCAGCACCGGACCCGCACGTTCTGGGGCGCGGGTAAGACCCCGGCAGGGGACCAGGTCGGAGCCGGGGGCAGCGGAAGACCCAGCCCAGCAGTTCCCCTCAGAAGCTAGGGAAGACCGAGGGGCAGAGCCGCGGGTGCGAGGAGGGAGCAGCTCACCCATTTGGTGAGCGGACGACAACCCTACTGGGGGAAGACTTGTCCTTCTCCCGAAGTCCCGGGGAAGAGGGACACCCCGTGGGGAATTAGGCTCGTAGGAGCCTCAAGGGCAGAACTCCGCCAGAGAAAGTACGGCAGCCCAGTGAGGCAACTGGGTGAGCTGAATCCCGCGGGAAGAGGGATTAATTGCTCCGAGGACAATTGAGGCCAGTGGGGACCCCACAATCCGGAGGCCAGGGCGAGGGTGTAGGGGTGGAGGAGCCCTCTGCGACCCCGGGGACCCACTTACGCAGAGTCTCACTTCCAGACGTGCACGCGCCAGACAAATAATACTGAACTGGAATAACATCAAAGTCGTGGCAGGCAAGTTAAGCGGGTGCACCGCGGGAGGTGAGAGCGCCCTCTAGCAAAAGGGGTCCACCCGGGTCAGACCGAATAGAGAAATGAAGGCTCGGCACTTCACAATAGGCTGACAGGGCCTTCATCTGCTGAACCCCTCACTGAGTCCGGTTCTACGGGAAGACCACCGCAGAAGCTGAGTCCTCCTAAACGGTTGGTTGACTATTCTGTCTAGGGGGAAGGGGTGTTCTGTCTTATCTTGTTTTCCTTGTACTGTCCTATTAAGGCCAAAGCCCTCATTTTCAGCACTTCAGGGTTCATTTTGCTTTGTGGCAGTTTTGCAGTACTGGGGACTCCATTTTTTCTGCCATGAGGAATCAGAGGCCTTCTTGGTTCCTCTCCCTCCACAGGACTGGACTGGGTCAAGTCAGAGGCAGAACAAATATAAGTTCTGCATACATCTGGTGAGGGCAATTCTTAAGATCCACCCTGGATATGGTTCCAGAGAATTATAATAATAAATAACTGTTAGTTTAACACAGGAGTGTCCAGAGTGTTGTTGCTGAACTCACAGCACATTAGGCGAGAAGGGTTTTCCAGAGGGATTGTTGGTAATACCTATCTAGACTATTGAGATGACAATGGTAGGTCACTCACTTTTCACATCCATAGAGGAGGGTGGGGATGATGACTGCATTGTAGACTTGGATCTTGGTGTCTTTCTGGAGATTGTGATAAATAAAGACATGCCAAAGCAACTTCCCAAAGGGGGCGTTTGTGCACTGGATCCTGTGCTGAATCTCCTTATCAATGTTTACTTTCAGAGACAGGTGATTATCAAGGTAGGAAAAGTGGCTCAGCTACCTCCAGGGTCTTTACCTCAATAGGGAAGGGGGTCATATTCATGGTCCAGGGCAGCCTGTTAGAGCACTTTAGTCTTCTTGATCTTGAGAGAAAGGCCCAAAATTGGGTAGGCTTCCTCAAAAAGATCTAGTGTGGCCTAGAGGTTTTCCTCAGTGTGCACAAGGATGGTGCAGTCATTAGCATATTGATGGTCAAGGATGATTGTTTTGAGTACTTTGGTCTTTGAGTGAAAATGGCCCAGACCGAGGAGACCTCCATCCATTCAGTATTTAGTCACAAAACAGGCTGCATCTCTTCCTCAAGTTATTACTGGTATTAGTTTGGCAGCTCCCAGGGACTTCATATTTGGTCATTTCATATCAAGGGAGATTAACTGAAAAAATGCTTCACAACTGTTTATTTTAATGAGTGTGTTTTCTTCAAGTCATCTAAAGCTGCACTAAAGAGATCCCTGAAGTTTTCCTTAAATGATACATCCTTCTTTGAATGCTCACAATGGGGCACAAAATGATGTGGCTGTCTATCTGGTGACATTCTGACAAGGGTGTCAGGGTAATGCACAGCAGTAAGGAGACAGTTTACAAAGTAAAAGATAAGATACAGAGTGACAGGTGATAGGAAGGCTTCTTTTGGAGAGCGTGACATAAATAGACAACAAAGAGTTTTATTTTCAATCTAGCACTTGCAACTCTCCACTCCTCCCCTCCCCCCAACCTCCTATACAATCAATTACACATCCTAAAACCCAGGAAGCACAAAGTGGAACACAGTGGTGAAACTAGGAAGTAGGAGATACTGGCAGTGCTTGGAGAGCTTCTATTTCTAAACACAGGGAGGTTAGAAGTCTGCTTCAGGGTAGAATGAATCTGTATTGATGATATAAGGAAGCAGAAATCGTAGCTAAGAGATGCTTTAGTGAAGCACTTACCAATGTGGTTTACATCTATCTGGGTGTGTCTACATGAGATGCTACTGCACAGTCATTACTGAGCATTTATTTAGTACTTGTATGAACAAGTACTAAATAAATGTACAGTAACCCAAGTTTCTGCACAGTAGCACTAGCGAATGCCTTTTTTGATATTACTGTGCAGTAGCCTAATACTGCAGTGCAGTAGCATTGGGCTACTGTACAGTCAGCAACTCATGTAGATACACCCTTTACGTAAAGATGACTTCTCTTCTTCATTTTGCCTTCACCAAAATGTGTCATATGTCAGATCATTCCTACTTTGCTTTAGCAGGTCACACTTGCATGTATTTGAATATTGACAAAATAGTAACTATCCATCTATAGACTAGT